TTATGCACAGAAATTCAACTTCATTTTCTACATAGGTTTCAGCGTGGTAATTATTATCTCTAATGTCCTTGAAACTCAACAATGTTCTTCCAAAACGTGGAGAATAGAGTGCCTCATCAATGGTCACAATTATACCATTGGACAACATTATACATGTCTTACCGTATCCTTCAATCAGGTTGAATGGGCCTGAGAGGGTTGTCAGAGGTGCATTCTTAGGTATAAAGTTAGTGAAATAGATGTGTTCATGCAAAACAGTGTACGTGGTTGCAGTATCTGCTAGACAACTAACTTTCCCACTAGTCGTACCTAGAATAAAAATTAATTTGAATTGGTCACATGCATAAAAGTTCTTAAAACAAATATGCATTCAAAATAATTGAAGTATTCAAGGATGGTAAGTAATAAAAACTTAATATCCAAAAACAGATCACCAAAAAATAATCCAAACATAAAGGTAAATTGTTCAAAAAATTAAACCAAAAACAAAGGGGAAGGGTTCAACCACTAAGTGGAATTCGGCCCTATTGTCTAAATTTCAACTAGAAAAATAGTTTATGTCTAAGATTCCAATCTTCCATAGGGGTAATAGCCTCTTGAAAGTCAAAAACCTCCATCTTGGTACCCTCCGGTTTATCCACTTGCACAAAGTTTGATTCAAACTTCTTACGACGAGAATGGTATTCAGCTACAACCTTTTGGGGAGCTCGGCAAACACGGGACCAATGATCATTTGAACCACAGCAATAACACTTGTCTGCATCCATGATTTCAGGTGTTTTGCCCTTATTCTTGAAGTTTTGAGGCCTTGGGAGCAAGGTTAGCCTTGGCTCTGTTGACCTTGACGGGGTGGCCACCCCTACCAGGCCTATTTTGGTGTTTTGGGCGTTTGTTTATGCTATAGTGTGCTTCAAGCATAACAGTAGCCCTAGTAGGTTGAGCTTGATTATTTTTCATCAACAGCTGATTCTGCTTTTCAGCAAGAAGTAAAATAGAGATCAAATCCGAAAACTTAGTGAACTTTTGAGCTCTATATTGTTGCTGCAGGATAATATTAGTAGCAGATAAATCGAATACGTCTTCTCCAGGAGGTCCTCTTCGGTCAAGGTCTTGTTACATAACTTGAGAAATGATCGGATTTGACCAACTTCAGAATTATATTCATTCACAAACTTAAAGTCTTGGACATGCAAATGCTACCAGTCATGTCTTGCTTCAGGCACGAAGATGTCATTTTGGTGATCAAAACAATCAGCCAAAACGATCCGGAGTGCTCGTGGATCCTCCTCAGCAAGGTACTTGGTTTGCAATGCGTCATGAATATGTCTTCGGATGAAGATCATGACAGTGGCTTTCTCAGCTTCGCCAACCGGGTTGTCCATCTCATCTTCAATGGCGGAACGTAAATTCTTTGTAGTGAGGTGAAGTTTCACATCTTAGACCCACTTGAGGTAGTTTCATCCAGAGACCTCCAAAGTGATAAAGTCGAGTTTGTTCAAATTCAACATGTTCCTATCACAAAATAAATGGACAAGATGTGATTAGTGTAATGGAGGAAAAAAAAAAATCAATCCATTCACATATGAATAGAACATTCAGGTTATAATGGACATGTATTGGTTTAAATTCACATGAAAAAGCTTTGACTTTTCATGGATGATGTTTTTAAGGAAAACTTTAGGTTTTCAAACAAGGCATGTTTCTAGAAACTTCAGGTTTTGAAATAATTATGAACTTCAGGTTTATAATTATAATGAAATTAATTATTTAGATTTCGGGCCAAATTTAAAGTGTGAGTGAAAATTATAAAACCCAAAAGTACCTAAAAAAATAGGCAATTAACACTCGAGGCCCAAAAAGTTTTGACCAAAGCCCACATGTGGGCTAGGTGAACTGGTGTCGTGGGTTCCAGGCCCAAAACAGGGCTGGGGTAGGCACGGACCTAGCATCACAGGCAGGCCAAGCATCATAGAAAATGAACTGCAAGTGCAAGCCCAAAAATAAAGGCCCAAATGAGCTCTAATTTGGTGCTTCGCGGACACAAGTACCTGGGGAGGACACAATCCTTTGCGTCGCAGTACATGGGAGTCATAACAGCCACGTGGGCTATGACCTTTTGTAGTGCAAGACACGGGAACACCATGGACAAAGAGGGCCAATGTTGGGTCGAGAAGAACTCCAAAGCCCAAAAGGCTGGTGTTTACCGAGAATTGGCCAAGCTCAAATGGGCTTGGGGTTTGAACCAGACACCCTAGCGCTAGCTAGGTGAACTCGCTGGAGAAAGAGACTGGCACCACCATTTCAGGCGGTTGTGTTGTGGTGCAACAATTATGGCAAAAAATCGTGGGTTCGACGGTGACCCATAGAGGTAAATGAAGAGTTGAGACTCTTAAAGTGTTTAGAAAACCTAGAAAAATTAATTCAGAATTTCGAAGAAAAACCGGTGAGATTCGAACAAATCTCGGTCAAAACCCATCGGGGGATAATCTTCAGGTTGTCGGGATGAGTATCGAAGGTCAAGATTGGGTTACAGGCCTACTTGTGAACGAGAAGACGCCATGGAAGGCGTCGGGTTATTTTTTTTATTTTTTTTTATTTTTTTTATTTTTTGGGTTTCAAACCAAGAGCCCATAGCTCCGACTTTATGGTCTAACAGCTAGGCTCAACTACACAGGCTGCAAGCCTGAGCCTAGTGGCTCGACCGCTTGGCGGCTCGCCAGCCACGGTTCACACGGTGGTGAGGTTTAGAACAAAACCCTAATCCATATTTCAATAATATTTTTTTTCAATTTCAGATTAATTCAATGCATATTCATATAAATAATTTAATGCACAGACATATATTTGATGCAATTCTTGGATATCAAATTCACATAATTCAACAATTAGGGATACACAATTTATGTAGAATCTAAAATTTGAAAAATGTAAAGTTGGATCATGCATTATAGTGAATGTTAATGCTATCAGGACTGCAAAAATATCGAGATAAAAACCGTTGTTTTAAAAGAATTTGATTGCGTGATCATATTGGTGAACTGGTTTGATGCAGAAAGCTTCCACGTCAGATTCTTAAGCGCAGCAGTGTGAGCATGCTGATAACGTGTTGTGGCCTATATTTAACTGACAGGGGAAGGGGCTAGTAGCACAGAGAGAGAATAGAGAGAGATGTATTTGTAGGGTTGTGTAGATGATATTGTTATTCCTCCTACGCATTGCCTTTATTTATAGTAATAAGAGATGGAAGAAATCTTTCTCCTCCAAGGCATACAAGTCATAATAGGGAAGAATAACTAGAATCAAATATAATCTAGGATTTACACAATCACACTTAAATAAGAAGTTTATAACAACATAAGCATTTTTAGCTATGAAATTTTTGAAGAATATTAGATGAGAGATTAATAGATGAATGATAACATGATTATTTTTATAAAGAGAGATATTTGATGGTATTGGTAATAAAGTTTTCATGCAACATTGTCAAAACATGAAAATGTGCCGACGGATATTGTTATATGTTGTATGAAAACTTTTATGAATAAATATATAAGTATTTTGTTTACTAAATTCTTGAACTTTTTAATTTGTGACTTTGTTGTTTGAGAATGCCCCAATCCATATAGAACTCTGACTTCGTTTCTGGTGAACCCCACACATTCTTGATTCCTCCATGTCTTAATAAACACAAAAATAATCTTAATCGAATCAAACTCCTTATTTTTATTTTAATTATTGGTGCGAAAACACGCTCGGTGGCAATACAAAACAAAAACTAGAAAAGAAAACTTGCTCCAAATTGTTTTCGGTTTTTAATTGTCCCTTTTTTAACTCTTCCATGTACATTGGTCCACTTTCCAGTTTCCACCAGACTCCCTCAGCCTCTGCCATCCCTTTTTTTCTCCTTCGTATTTCCTTCTTCTTCTTCTTCTTCTTCTTTTTTTTTTTTCCTAACAAAAAGAAAAAATTATAAATTAAACATGGAAAATAAGTGGTGAATTGTTTTGATATATAAGATATTTCTCTTCAATCCGTATCTTATAGAAACATTTCCTCCCTCTTTTATTCTAACTTTAAATAATATATCGCTTATAAATTAAAGACAAAATAAGCTCTAATATTTTTATTGCCAAGTCTTTGTCAAAAGTTCATATTAGGACTAGCTTTGAGCACGTTTGTGTGTTTTTTTTTAAGGAAAACTAATGAAAAGGGCTTGAAAACTTTGAGTGTTAATGATAAGGACAAAATAAAGGGTAAAGTGAATAGTATCAAGTTTGGCTTTTTAGTGTAAAAATATGGTTTTTCGTTAAAGTAAACAGTATCGTGAGTTTTTCGTTAAAGTCCCTTTTTTTTTAATTGTGCAACAGTCCCAATTGTTGGACTGAATTTATTATTTTCCGAAAAAAATAAAAAAGCTTGTACATTTATAATATAAAATTTCAGTCGCTTAGTACTACGGTCTAGTGATATTCCTCTTCACTTGTAAGTGAGAGGTCTCAGGTTCAATTCTGATCAAAGACGAATTTGAACCACATTATTGCTAGCCTATTGTGAGATTTAACTCACTACCCACTCCTTTAGTATAAATAATACTGTTGGTTAAAAAAATAAAAAATAAAATTCCAATGTATTGCATTGCATGTGTGAATTCTTGATCATGTGATGGGCTGCATGTCATTCCGAAGCACTGACTCCACGGCAAGCCACACTGAAGAGAGGATCCATGTCTGGGGTGTACCAATCCCTTTGTTCTTTTATCGCCATATTTCACATCCATGGACAAATCTTAGCACAGGGCCCAAGCTTAATTGTCAATAGAACAGTTTTGCTCTCCCAGATATTAAAAGACAAATAAAGAATGGTTGAGATTTAATTTATTCGTGAAAAATAATGATCGGGAAAGAATCATATTGTAGCGTCGACAGAAAATGATTTCACATTCTCTTTCTTTTTAACTGTCCTCTTATTTTTTGTGGCTATTGAATTTAATAAAAATAACACACGGAGAGAAGCGTAGAAGGAAAGAATGGGAGTGGAAATCATTTTTCATTATCTATTAAGTTTCGTTGAATGGCTTCGAAAAGTGAAAGCTTAAGATCAATGATAAGTTTTGAGTGCGAATATCGCATTTGCAAATAATTCATGAGTTAATAAGTAGATATATGTGATATGAGATGAGTAAATAAGAAACGCCACGAAACAGACGTTCACTCCAAAAAATTACTCTTTACTCCAACTTTGAGAACTTTTTGTTTTAACTTTTGACCCAAAAAAAAAAAAAAAAAAAAAGAAGATTTTTGCTCTTTCTTGTGCAACTATATCCAAATACATGCTCTTGTGAGACCAAGCCAACAAATGTAGAGATAGTTTGGCCAAATCTCAACAAGAAAATCTTTAATATACAGGTCACAAGAATGAAGCTGCCATGGCCAACCACCTCCTAAAATTCAATTCCACTCAAGAGATTGCTACAAAATAAAGTAGAGAAAACCAAAAGAAGGATGTGGCCAAGAAGGTCAGAGCATCAATATTGCAACAAACCCCACAATTCACATGCCCTCTATGAGTGAATGTACCACATGAAACAACTTTATTACCCGCATCCACAGATATTAATCCATCCAAAAACACTACACAATGCATAAAACTAGTAGGTTTTCTTCAATACACTTAAATACTTTGTGCTCCGATATTTAGAGCCGTTAGATCCAATTCAAACGATAACAATAACTAGTACTAATTATTTCATCTACATAGTATGCCCACAAGTATTAATGATTACAATTTGCATGTTTGAGATTGGTGATCAAATGGACCATATCTAATCATAATTCTTTTCTCCATTGATTTTTGAAGATTTTCTATGATATCCCTTAGTAATTGTTCAGGTAATTAGGTAATAGGCAATTATAGCCTTAGTAAATAGTATTTTTCCATTTCATATATCGATGATGATAATTTTGCGATGTGCAGGCAAGCAAGAAGACGATGGTATCAGACGTGAGCAAGAATATATAAAGTGGCACAGAAGGATTGCCTACGTCTCCATGGTCGAACGTTCTGTCGTCAGCATGACGTCAGATCCAGCTCGGGCACAGGGTCGGACAAGGATTGCTCTAGTTACCTAGTCCGGCACACATGGGTCCACCCAATTGCCTGACTTTTGGACATGGATTGGAGATGTTTTGGACATCTTTTGGGCAACAATTGCCCATTTGCCTGGCTTTTGGGCATGGGGTGGACTTGCTCTTAGAGCATCAAGAACTTGCCTAAAATTCTCACCAACTGGCTTCAACTCAGTGCTGGTGTCACAGGTGGCAGGCATATTCAGAGGTACTAATGCAAATGTATTATGAACAACTGAAAAGATTTTGCAAATTTTATTCTAATTAGCTTAATTAAGTAGATCCCAACATGGAATGTCAAAGATTATTTCTAAACACTAGTGATTTTAATGCTCCTCTTTTAGCTGTATGCACTTCTTCTGAGCACATAAAGATTATTAATATTTAACTTAGAGTACGTATGGTTAAAAGCCGAGTGCCAAAATATCTACCCTAAGTACAGACACTAAACCTGATAGAACTGGTCAGGTTAATTGGACTTACATACCTATTACTATCTTCAATCTCTGGATCTTCAGATTTATGAGTTGGGTTGTGGCAGAACCCTTTTGGGGAAGAACATTCTAAGCTGGAACTAGAACTGGAACCAGAAGTGCTTTGAGAAGAAGTGTTTTCTTCAGTGAAAGTACTTTCACAGCTTTGCTCAGATGTGGTGGAGTCAGCTGCATTTTGTCTTGATTCTTCTGGGATTTCTGACTCTGCAACTTTGGATTTGGCTTTATGGGTTTCTGGATGATTGGATCCTGATGAAGTAGTAGCGGATTGTGTACAAGATTTTTCACTATTTTTAGAGGAAATATTCAAAGATTCAAGCTTTTTCTTCAAATATTTGAGCTTCTTTTCTGCTTTTTCCTTCAGTTTGATCTCTTCTTTGAGCTGCTTCTGTAGTTCTACTAACTGTTGACATTTGAAACATTATAATGTGAATGACAGACAACACATAGATATATATAACTGGTCACCTCTTTTGTGTTCCTAATATGGATATACTCAAGATTTAACTTACCAATTAGTGTAATTGAAAAGAATAACGACTATGGATGTTTACTAATCCGTAATCAAAAATTCAAAAAATTTACCTTCTTGCCAATGAGTTCTGCATCCTCTTTTGCAACCCTAGAAGCTTGCCTCTCTGCCAGCAGTCTCCCTCTGAGGCACTCCAAAGTCCTCAAACCACCATCTCCTTCCATCTTCCTGTCACTGAGACAAAACCCACATCCCACATTGTCAATTTTGATGAGAGAAAGAGAGAGAAAAAGAGAGAGAGAAACCCACCTCCATGTTCCATCTTCCATGCCAGTAGTAGCTGTCATTGTTATTTTTAGGTGGAGAATACACACTTGGGCAAGAACACAGATGCTTGATTGTCAGTGTTTAGAAAACCAAGGACTGAGAGCTTTGGAGTCTCCTTTGCTCATACCAGGTGGACGATGGTACATTTGACAGAGAGACAATGGCTCTTGTACTTAAAAAGTAAGTTGGTAACTGTGATCATCTGCCCACAGTGTTTACATCTGTTATTTATTTCCCTCACCACCCAAGGTTTTATTTTGTAGTGTTACCTCTTGATTTTCATTATTTTGTTGTCTTGGTATTAAGCAATTGACCACTTTTGTAATGAAAGTTTCTTGGTCCTCACTCTGTACATTTCAGTAGGCCATGTTTTCCCTTTATGAGTGAAGGCTCTTTCATCATTGATAAAATGCCACTTTCCCTATACTTCTAAACACAAAAAAACACTTATGGACCGATGACATGTTTACTTAACTATAACGAGAGAAGTTGAGAAGAACTGAGCACAAGATCCCGTTAGTTGTTGGTTGTTCAGGTATCAGATTACAAAAAGTAATGTGAAACTCACATGTTTTTTATCTAGTATGTTTTAAAAACCGCAAAAGAAGTCAACAAATCGAAATAAGTTTCAGAGTGGAGTGGAGCAATGGTCCTTGAGCTTTCGTCTAATTGGAACATTGGTCCCTGAACTAAAAATTGCGATATTGGTCCCTACACTTATTACAACATATAACAATGGTCCTTCATGGTGTTATTCAAAATGACCAATGTTCCACATTGTGATAAGTCCAAGAATAAATACTCATTGACTTTTAGTTCAAGGACCATAGCTCCAATTGAGCCAAAGTCCAAGACCAATGCTTCATTTTTACTAATTCTAATATCCATGTGGAGTAATGCTAGAGAGACTAAATCTGCAAACTAAATGATGTGTCACTAATTGGAATAAGCACGTTTGTCAACATTTAAGTAATAAATCAATTATCAACTTCTATGTTCTTTAGTTTCCAAGAATTTATCTTCAAATTTAGTCTATCTAGTATTACTCTATCCATGTGTTAGTAACGTAAGAAAAAGTCAGAAATCAAAATAATTCAAATTCTTTATATAATTAAATCATAACCCATGGTGGTTGGAATTTTCTTTATATAGTTTGGGTTCCACCGGTATTACAGATACATGAATATATGCAGTGCATTTGAAATACATGAAATAGGAATCATAGATCTAAAATTTGAAATTTGAAATACATGGCTGTCATAGATTTAAATTTTTTTTTCTGCAGAGATCTGGCTGTTATGTCACGTGATCTCATCTCACTGTATTGTCTTCCTCCTCCTCCTCCACCTTGCTCATGACTTTGTTCTCATCATCTGTCATACATAGTTTGGAATTGGACTCTAGTTAAACATATCAAACAATACAATCGCAGATCAATCTTTGTTAATTTCTCTCTCTCCCCAGTGAGCTTCGGAGAATGATTTAAATGGAACGAGTTTATTATTGTCAAACGTTTCATCTTAATAAACTAATACCATGTATAAATTTTTACCGCATAACATGAGACTCTGAGTAAACTAAAACGTCACATGCTGAAGGGCTCGTTTAATACAACTTCACGACTCGTAGTCATAGCAGACCCTTGAGTATCAACACGTGTCATACAGCAACATATATATTGCAGACGTAAGTAAAGTGTACTCACATGCTATGATGGACCAGCATCTTTGATAAATATTAAATACACCCACCTCTTTTCTTAATTTTTGTTCTATCAAATTCCTAGTTTGATTTTCCAAACGTAGAAATCCTTATAAAGTTGACAACACCTTCTGCTAATTAGCATTCATAATTATCTAGATTTGATTTTTGGCAAAATGATTTTTTTTGTTTTTTCATTACCAACTATGTGCTATTTGGTAGAGTTAAATTCAGAACCTATTCGAACGAAATAGAGGCTTAGGTATGAGTTAAAACTAAATGAAGTAAAGATTTGCAGCGTATGTTACCGAAACAATTTCGAAAGCATAAGGTGACCAAGTAATGAATAAATTGGTATCGATTTTTGCGATTTAGGAGATTCGAACTTATGACCGTATAGTACTAAATGATGCTTTAGTGTGAAAATTAAAATCATTGTGTTTCATATAAATTCATAGCAAGGGACTTGGTACTAATTAGCTTGGTTTGCACTCAAAGAAATGACTAAGCAATTCTGCGAGTATTTGATCATATTAGGAATGCAAGAGCTTTAAGCACACTCATTATCATTAGCTGGACCAGTCAATTTATTTTGAGTGGGACCTGTGTTTAGCACGGTGGATGAAAATATTCCCATAGCTAAACGTCCTTTATGTCCCTTAAACTTGTTTATATTTTCAATTTTAGAGTAAGAGATCGATTTACCCCCTGAACTGGTATGAAAATGCTAATTTCCTTATGAATTTTAATTTTAGCCAATTACCCACTTGAACTTTTATAATTAGTCAAGTTTCCCCTTAAACTTTAATTTTACCTAATTACCCCCGGAACTTTTATAAATAGCCAATTTCCCCCTGTCGTTAGATTTTAAAAAATTTCATTCAATTTTCCATCCATTTTGATCATGGAAACAACACATGAATGCTGTATGAGGGCAAAAAGGATGAAAAATTGAATGAAAATTTTTAAAATCTAACGCCAAGAGATAAATTGGCTATTTATAAAAGTTTAGAGTGATAATTGGTTGAAATTAAAGTTCAAGCGGGAAATTGGCTAATTGAAAAAGTTCAAGGGAGTAATCGGCAAAAATAAAAGTTCAGGGAGAATTTGATAGCTACATACAAGTTCAGCAGACAAATTAACAAACACTTCAAGAGTTAATGATTTAGAGAAGGATAATAGTTCATCTCAAATTAAAATGACAACTATATACTTAGTCATAAGTGATGTAGGATTAGATGAGGTGGCCTACACATAAGAGCTCAGTCGTCTAACTACTATTATAGCGTATTAGCCTTAGGATAAAGCAATTGGACGGAATTTAGAGTATGAGACCCCCTGATAGAAAACAAAGCACCAACAATGAAAATCTAGAGGTTCTCTAAACTATGTGCAGCAACTGTTAATATGTAACCAAAAGCGCACAAGGCAATGAGCAACTTTGTTAACTCTTGGTGACAAACATAAATAGAATTATCTCAAGTGATTCGAAGCAACTGTAATTTCATGTCTCATTGATGCATTTATTGAAAATGAATATAAACTCTAATGATGTAAAAGATTAATCAATATAAACAAGAAAACGAGTGACACAAACTTCTCTAAATTTTGACATGTCAATTGTTTTGAGTAATTGATGAATTCATAATTAATTTATCTAAAGAATTAGACAAAACTGAGCTTTTGTTCTTAAATTGTAAACTAAGAGGACTCGAGTCACAACATATGAAACTATAAAGACCGAAGTAGAACTTCACGTAATCGACGGGCACTAAAATAATTATTTGGTCTCATTTAATGATTTAAATGCACTGGCACGTGATACAAACCGGCTTTATTAAGAATTCAGCAAACGACAGGCACGTGACTTATAGGAACCTACTTTATTTTGAATTCGCACCGCGCGGGTGGCGTAAACTCGGCGCGCAGAGCAACGACAAAGTGGAGCGTTGTGGCTTTGCTGTCGCGTAAATTGTCGCCGAAATCATATGCTTCTCCTCTTCTCACTATTCTATCTCGTGAGGTAAACAAATCGGTTCATTCTTCTAGGGCTTTGATTTTTTGGGAAATTTACCAATTTCCATTTCGTTTCTGCGCTGTGGATTTTAGGGTTTTCTAGTGTTGTGCATTTCAATTGTTTCCATATGGAAGAAAGCCCCTTCGTATTTAACTTTGACCTAATTTTCACAAGCTGAGTAGCGAGTTGTGTATTCCCAGTTTCTTTTATATTTCGTATCCAATTTATAGGTGTGGGATTTGGATTGATACATGCTTGCTTTGATTTTGGTTGGCTCAGTTCATGGTTGACTCAATTATTTTCATGCCTTCGTTCATGGTTTGCCTTAATTCATGACAGCTCAGTGCTATTTTGTTGCTCAGTTATCCTGATAACTGGATTTGGTGTAGTCTCAGTATATTGTTTCCACAATTCATGGTCTGCTTAGGTTTAATTTGATACCTTGATTCATAGTTGCCGCAGTCTATTTTTGTCCAAGTTCTAGTTGCCTGAGTTATCTTGATGCCTCGATCTATGGTTGCCTCGGTTATATAAATACCTTGATTACTGGTTACCTGGGTTTATTGTTGGTTGAAGTTACATTGTTGCCTCATCATGGTTGCTTCGGTTATTGGTTGCCTCAGTTTATTCTTGAAAAACGTTGTTTTCTTGATTAATGGTAACCACAGTTGACTCCTCGATTAATGGATGCCTCAGTTTATTGTGGGCTTAATACATTGTTTCCTTGGTTTATTGCTGCCTCGGTTTTTTCAGTGTGTTGTTTCCTTAGTTCATGATCGCGTTGCAGTTATCTGTACGACCTAAGTCTGCTTGGGTTGTTTGGATGACCTGAATCTTATTGTCATCATTATTTTGAAGCATCGTTGCCCATAGTTGACTCAATATATTTTTCCCACAGTTGGGGGCTGTCTATGATATTTGATGCCTATTCACAGTTGTCTTGAACTCTTGGTTGTATTGATGCATGGATGTATCGACAAATGGTTGCCTCAGTATATTCTTATTGTCACCACTCATACTTCCTTCAATTATCTATCTCTCAATTCATGGTTTTTATTGAAGCCTTGAATAATAGTTTCCCTCAATTTATTCCGGTCTACATTTTTGCTTTAGGTTTTTTTCTCGTATATTGTTGCTTTGATCACACGGTTGCCTCAGTTATCTTGACGCCTTAGTTCATGAATGGCTAGTTAACTTGATTTCTTTGTTCTTGGATGCTTCAATTATTTTGATGCCCAATTCATGGTTGCCTTACTTCATGGTTTTCTTGGTGTATTGTTGTCAAATTCTTAGTTGTGTTGACATTTTGATTCCTCGATTAACTGATTTCTCGGTTGTCGATTATTGGTTGTCTTGTATGTTATAACAACTCATAATTGCCTCGGTTGCCTTGGCAATGTTGGCAAATTTTTGTGGTACAGGGAAGAAATTGTTTCAAAGTATCCCCTATTATTGGTATCAGTGTCTTGATAAACAAAGATATATTGGCATCGGTTCAATTTAATGAGTTATGAGATGACTAAATCCTGGAATGTTTATTGTGACATTTGTTTTGCCTTCTGTGAGATTTCTTAATTTATTGGACTGCCCTTTATGTTTTCTTAGCCCTTAGTTAATTGGACAATATCTTGTTTAAAAGTATTCTAATTCAAGTGTGGTTGTGCATAATGTAACTTAGTATCCTGCACGTCGAAATTAAGATAAACTTCCCCTAAGTTCACGAGATTGCAGAAACTATTTTATACAAACTATGAAAAATGAGGATGGCCATTTTTCCTTGTCTTGCAGTCGGAATTGTATGATTTATCTGAGAGAATATTGATTGCAGAGTAGTGATTTGGCCATCTAATTTATTTTCATGATGATGCATGTGTAGGATTTTCCAAAGATATATAGAAACCAAAAATGTGATGCTATCCTTTAAAGAAGTACGAAGGGCGAGCTAAAGATCCCACGTACTAGTCTATGTGTACACGCCCATGTTTCGTGGGCTGGCTCAGACTGATTAAATCGGATTGGAACATTGGAGTCATAGCCGTTGTTTGATGAGCCTAATTGCACTTCAAACTGAGTCGGACTGGGGAAGGACACAAGTCCCAGAAAGGAGGGATTTAGGACCCATGTTGAGACAGGTTTTGAGTGAGCCTCTTTTCTTCTCTGCATTCGCTTTTCCTCCTTTTCTCTCCACGGTTTCAAGGTACCGCCCTTTTCCCTATTTTCTCAATCCTTCAAACACTGCGCACCCATTGTTTGAGTTATACTTTTATCTTAGTTCAAATTTCGACTTCAGTTTTAGTCGGTTTCCATGTTTGATCTAACTTTTGAACTACTTTGGTTTTTTTTTTCTTCCTCTGAATCTGACTCTTTGGTCACTGCCGATCTCATAAATTGTGAGCTAGGTTTCTGATTGATCGTAAGGTACTAGTCTCATCTGTTATCTGCTGGCTTAGACAGGACTCCTTTTACCTCTGTCTCCTTTGGTTTCATAATTTCATTGTCCCTATCCTTGGAAACTTGTGGATTGGGCAAATAAATGCAGTGGCAAAACAGTTTGTTACAGGACTTCAAACCAAATGATGTTAACCCGATGCTCTTTTTGGGTGGAATGGTTTTCCATCTGCCCATCTGTGTGAACTGTTTAGTATTAATAGAAAAAGGCACTTTAGGAAAGCAAGAAAGTTCGGCTAAAACTAAATTATTTCAACAAAGTCCGTTTCTGGAGAAACATATCCACATCTGACATCTCCGTGAGATGTATAGCATCAGTAGCAAAAACACTTTCAGAAGCGACATTTTGTGGAAACTATCATAGCAAAAGAACTCAGTATATGCTGCAGATCCAATCCAAATGACTTGGCTACACCCGATATTGTAGCATTGTAATACACAATGTGACTAATGTAACACAGTTTATGATTTGTGTAATTGAATATTAGGGAATTGACTAGTCTAACTAGTTTTCATGATAATGAATGTGTAGGATTTGCTTAAGGTATATAAAGAGACCAGAAATGGAGTTCTATCCTTCAAAGAGGTACGAAAGAAAGGCAAGCTAATGATCCCATGTTACTGGTCCGAGATTACAAGCTCTTCAGGTAATGGAATGTTTTACGTATACCTGTTTATATTCTGCTGCAAAATTTCTCACACCAGCTCTCATGGCATTATCGATACCAATTTGTACCCGATGAGGCTTGGAATGCTATTTTTATAAAGGTACGAAAAGAAAGGCGAGCAAATGATCCCACATTACCAGTCTGAGTTTACCATCTCTTAAGGTAATGGGACGTTTTACTTATACCTGTTTATATGTACTGCTGCGATGTTTTTACACCTGCTCTCACGGCGTTTTAAGTACAATTTGCAATTGATGACGCTTAAATCTCTTATGATCTTTGTAACAGTGTTAACAAGCTATAATTCTTAGAATTCTGCAACAATCTCTGCTGCTAGAATAAGATAGCCACCCTTTTTTGTGGGCTCGTTTAATTGTGGTTGAGTCCTTGTCGAGTGAGATTTTGGACTAACGCACGCCTGGAGCTTTCTAGTAATTGCCAACCTGAAAATCCAACCCCCTTCACATTTAATGAGTTTAGGGTGATTGGGTTTTTTACTTCGTACGGTTGTTTCAGTGTGTCCAAAATGTCCATGTTGCTTAATGCTATGTTGAAAATGCATTACTGAAGCACTAAAAAGTTACTATTAAAACATTACATATGCACTACACAGACACTAAACGAGGGACGTTTCAGATAGGACTTAGAAATGTATGGCATTTAGTCACTTTCAAGTTTATAATTGAAACACACCATTCATTAGTCTAGTGACTTTCACTTTGAGTCTGATCTTTAGTCGAACTGTTTCGTGCCAAACCTTAAAGCCCTATTTACTAATTTTGATAATATTATAGTTTAATTTGTTGGAAAATGATAATATTTAGGTTTATTTTATTCTTTGGGTATGGCGCCTAATCTATTAGAATTAGGGTTTCGTTCTCTTGTCTATTAGGGATTATAGTTAGTTCTCTGTATATAGGATGTTATGTTACTGAGTTAAAATAGTCTCTCAATGTAGTCTTCTGATATGTAGCTATTATGGTTATTTTACATTTTAGTTAATAAATCAATCTTCGTATTTTGTAATGTTGTTTGTTCGTTCTATGCACTTTGATTTTCATCCTGGTTTATTAACTAAAAGGTAAATAGGTTTTATTGGAGTGTAAGACTAAGATTGGTTTATTAATTGAAAAGTAAATTAGCTATGACAGCTACATGAGAAAATTATATGGCGACAGACTATTCTTAAATGACTTACATAACATCCTAGGCCGGGCACCCCGATGAAGGCACATGAACCCTCTAGGCTGCCACTTGGGCAGTCTAAGGCGGTTCGTGTATTTTATTTTTTTTTTTAGGTTAAAGGGTTTAAAGATTATTTTTTTAAGTAAAATAACTTTAGGCTTTCTTTCTTGTAAAATCACTCGGAATACATATTTTGTTTTATGCATTCAATCACTTGTAGTACTTTATAATTTATATATTCTTCTATTTTGCATTTATGTTTCCAAATACAAGTATAAATATATATTTAAATATAGAGTATAAGTATTCACTTATTTATATAGATACATTTTTTAAATTTTTATACCATAAATTTAATTAAAATAATAAAAAAAATTTGGCTAGGCCCCTAAGCGCTGGGCTTCTGTCATGTCCACTAGTGCCTAGTGCTGCCCATAATCAACATCTAAGGAGATAAATACATGAGTAATGCTAGTTACCACTTTTTTAATACTTGCGCATTTGTATCACCTCTTTAATAGAGATTGAGCTTATCAACATATGTGGATTCTATCTCTATTAGATAGGTAGTACAAATATGTTATAAAAAAAAAGTGGTAAAGTAGTATTTTTGTAAATATATTAATTGACGTAGCACATACACATCGTTTGCCACATCAAATGTTACACCAACATGATACAAAAATGTCAACTCTCTATAAAAAATAAAAATTTAAGGATGTTAATCAATTGGATCTCAGGTTGGGTCATTTTATTGAAGTGTAATATTACCTATCCATAAAAATGGACTCGATTTCATGAAATGTGAAATCAATTACAGAAGATTGCAGATCAATTCCCCAAGTAAATTAATCGCATAAGCTATCTCTTTCTTTCTCTCTCTTTCTGTCTCTCTCTCGCGGTGTCTTATTTATTTAGCTACATGCTAATCCACAAATGCCTATAACCTAAACCACATGCTTCCATATCACGTATTATGTGTGATCCTCTCCAATTTCATTCATCACACACAATCCCTTCACAGCCAAGAAATTTCCGATCCACTCTGGTGGTGACACGTGTGCACTTGTTGATCACCATCACTCTAAGCTAATTCCTTCTCGCCTATCTTAACCAAAATCTCCCACAGCCGTTGGATCTCCCCGAACACATCTTCCGTGGGAAGCGTAAACCGGCAGCATGGACAAGTGTTCCTCTTCCTCAGCCACCGCAAAATACACATCCAATGAAACAAATGCCGGCACGGCAGCTCACACACATCTCTGTCTTCTCTCATCTCCTCTTTACATATCACGCACTCGCTCCCTCCACCGCTTACCACCACTGACGGCAGCGACACCACGACTGCTGGCGATGCCGCAACTTCTCTCCCTGCCTTCCCGCCACAGCAAAAACCCATCACGTTGACGAATCTCAAGCACCTTGTCAGCACCTCAATATAAGACACCAAAGCCGACCTGTTGTAGACCCCAATGCCGGAAACTGTTAACATGTTGTCGGAGTACAAATCACTTAGAATTTCGCGCCATTTTACAGTTGGTGCTTCGAGGGCTTGAGGGTTGTGCTGGTGTACTTCGCAGAGCAAGAGGAGGAGCAGGACGGCGTCGAGGTCTCTCTGTCTGGCCTGCCGCGGCGGTAGATTGGTGTAGGGTTGGAAGTGGAGTGTAAGGTGGTGGAGGGAGGAGAGGAGGTGGTTGGCGATGAGGAGAGTCTTGTGGGCGAGAGGGAGGCAGTTGAGGCGGTGGAGGGTGAGAGAGAAGAGGATGGGGGAGGAGAGGAGGGAGGAGAGACGGCGGCGGCGGTGGTGGGTGTGGGAGAGGATGGTGCGGGTGAGATCTGAGAGTTGGGGTGGGGTGAGGGTGGCCAGAGCAGCCATGATGGTTGCGGTTGCTCCTGTTGTTTCTTCCATCATGGGATCGTGTGCTTTGTGGACTTTCGCTTTTAACTCTTTTATGGAGCGTGGAAAAAAGTTTTCAGGAATGTCAAGGGTTTTTATGTGAATTTTCGTTTGGACTAATTTGGCCATGCTGGTCTCTTGTAATGACCATTGTACCCCCTTTGATTTTTGTTCCACTCTTGTAAATACTATAGGGAAGTGATTTCGGCATACATTTATTTCCTCTCTCCTAGATTGAGATAAGTAAATAAAAAAAATAAAAAAAGGGAACGAAAAAAAGTAAAGAAAAAGAAACCGAAAATTGTTGTTCATAGTATATTATTGTGGCCATGACATTTGTAATGGGTCAAAATCCTACATTAATCATGTCTTTACGTTCACAAAATCATCATTAATTTTGTTAGTGTCAAGTCATAATGTGTTATATTTTTTTACATGTAAGAGAATAGAGAGAGTTAAACTCTTAACCTAGTCAGATGACAACAAATGCAATGCATAAAGCTAATAAGTTGGTATAAGAGGGGTTGGTTAGCACTTTAACGGTGGAAATGTGCATGTGGGGTATTAGATTAGATGAATTGAATCAAGTGGTTGGTTATGTAGGTTGGTTTGTCTACAAGTTGTGTGTCGAGTTCAAACCCCATTTGTCCTTGCTATATAATTATGTAAAGAAAAACAAGTAGAAGAGTAGAAAAACCGATTGGCCCATCCCATCCGTGGCTCGCTCTCCTTGTCCCCTTCACTCTTAATAATGCAAATGCAAATGGTAAGATGATCCAACTTGACAGCCATGCTAATATATCATTTCGCTTCTCAAGGAATTGTGTCACCTTTTACACTTGCATTTACCGCCTACAGCTCCGGTTAATCTTCATTGGAAGTTGAGTAAATTGTTTGCTAGATCTGGTAAATTAGCCTAATGACCATTTTGTCCCCTGTTTTCACAAGAACTTTTGGTATTATTTTGGTTTGCTTGACAACCAAAAATGCATTCTGAATTCGATTAGAAAAAACTTAAAAGCACGTTCAGACTCAGGGCCTGTTTGGGATTGAGGTGATTAAAAAAAAAGCTACTATGAAAAAAAGCTATGAAAATTTTTGGTGTTTGGTAAACTTTGAAAAGCAGCTTTGTTTCAAAGTTGAGGGTGAAAAAAAGCCCAAAACCAGGAGATGACAAGAAGCTGCAATTTGCAGCTTCCAAAAGCAGCTTATTTTCACCCACACACGGGTGAACAATGTACACGTTTAATGAAATATGAATAACCCAAAACTGCCCTCCCTTTCCCTTCACCTACGCTCTCACCTTTCCAGAGCTCTCTCGCACGCTCTTCACCTCAGAGCTCTCTCGCATAACCTGAACCAGAGCGATCTTTCTCGTTCTCTCATTCTCTCGTTCTCTCGTTCCAAAAACTAGCGAACTCGTTCTCTCGTTCCAAAAACTAGCGAACTCGTTCTCTCGTTCTCCAGGTTTCTCCAGGTAAGCTTCTCATTTATTTGTTTGGATTTTTCAAATTAGGGATGGGGAGATTAGGGAAAGAGGGGTGGGAAGAGCAAAGGGATGAGGGTATGGGTGTCGGGAAAAATAATTGGGGATGGAGGGTGGGGAAAAATTAATTGGGGAAGGTGATATGGTTTGTGGAAAAAATTAATTGGGGAAAAAATTAGGGTTTGTGGAGGAAACAAAAAAAAATTGAGAGAGAAGTTTGATTACTTATGTATTCGTTTTTTTGAAGAAGGTCTGCTTCTGATTTGGGTTTATGTAAGGGATAATTTGCTTTGCTCTGCTTCTAATCTGTGAACTGTGCTTCTGATTTGTCATGTGTTTTTTGGGTCAAAATATTCCTCAGAACTTGAATATGTAATGACTGGTAAGGAATTGATAGTATATCTCTCAAATATAATTAGTTAAGATGGCCGTCTCTTCGTTTTTCCTGTAATTTTCCATCCGCTTCACTAGTTTGTGTACTTTAATTTCTCAAACTTCATGTCTTGAGCATGTAGAAGTTATACGCATTATCTGGTGTTGAGTGTTAGTTACACATGAGCTAGGTCTAAGATGGCGGGTGCAATTAATGCTCATCCTCTTGGACATTATGTTTTCGATACACGTAAAGATTCTTGATACTTTGTTGAAGTCTGAGTATATTCACTTGTATTTTGTTGCAGGACATCTTACATCCAGGAGTGATGTATATAGTTTTGGCGTGGTTTTACTCGAGATGCTGACCGGCAGAAGATCCATGGACAAAAACCGACCCAATGGCGAACATAACCTTGCGGAATGGGCACGGCCACATCTAGGAGAAAGAAGAAGATTCTACCAGTTGATAGACCCTCGGCTTGAAGGCCACTTTTCGATAAAAGGTGTCCAAAAAGCCGCACAACTAGCTGCCCACTGCCTTAGTCGAGATCCAAAAGCCAGGCCCCTAATGAGTGAAGTTGTGGAAGTCTTAAAGCCCCTACCAGCCCTCAAGGATATGGCAAGCTCATCATATTATTTCCAGACAATGCAAGGTGACCGTGTCGGTTCCAGCCCAAATACCAGAAACAACGTCAGACCGCAAGGAGGATTGCTGATGAGGAACGGGCATCATCAGCAGAGGAGCCTTTCGATACCAAATGGTACCCATGCTTCTCCATATCACCATCAACATCCCCATCCATCGCCAAAACCTAATGTAAAACCGTAAGATAGGGTTGGCAGCTCTTTGTATCATTTCCCACCTCCTGTGAGCAATCATTTTCTTCTTTTCCCCCCTTTTTCCGCTTCCTCGATCCGTATAAATGTAATTTTCGGTTAAAGCATTTGTTCTTGAACCAACTGGAAAATCAGCAGAGATTCATGTTTGCTTTTGATGTTATGTTTAGAATGTAAGGGCAGGCCAAGCTTCTTTGAGCAAAAATTTGTTATGCAATATCTTGTGAGAAAGACCATAATTGTTGCCTCCCCTTAATTTGTCTTCTTATTAGTCCAAGTCTTTGTCTTCTTATTAGTCCAAGTCTTTTGGCTCAATGAGTACATTCAAACAACGGGTTTGCAAAACTTATAGCCCAAGTGATTAAGAACTTTACCTCCGAATTCAATATTTTCTGTGCAAATTCCCGTCTCCTAACATCGGTCGTCTACATGGCCTTACCTTTTGGACTCGGCAAGGTTCAATCTTGTTCCACATCAGCTAACTAGAATAGACTTCAATCGAGTGCGAGACGTCAATTGAGTGTGATCGTTGCATTGTTAAGTGTTATTATTTCACGTGTTATAATATTGTCGGTAGTCAAATTCACTTTTATTTGTTAAGAAAATTAAATTAATAGCACATCTAGTAATATACCCTTTTTGGTCATTTCACATAGTCACAGCTGTTTTACAAAAAAGTTTACCAAACACTATGATACTGCTTTTTTTTTTTCCAAAAGCACTTTTACAAAAAAGTTTACCAAACACTTTGCTGCTTTATTTCATAGCCGCTTATTCTCACAACACAGTCGCTTATTCTCACAGCAGTTTTTTTTCAAAGCACAGCAATACCAAACCAGCCCTCAGAGAAGAGCTTTAGGTGCTTTTTCGGAAAGCACCTTCAAATGGCCTAAACTACATCCCAACCAATGGGTTGGGGGTGTATATGATTCCACAAGGGGCATCCTCGTCACTACAATCAAGCCTAGTAAGAGTGAAAATCCCTTGTAGAGGAAGAGGAGACACAATGATAACCTTTGTAGGCAACCAAACCATGGTCACGATTCAGGGCCGAGGAAATGCCGGAAAAAAAAATCATGCACATTGGATTCTTTAAAAAGAAAAGATTTGCAGCTAGCTTTGTTAGAAGTATGTAATAAAGTAGGGGCAGGTCCCTTAAAAAGTAGGGGCTATTAACTTCACTACTTGTAAATAGAAAAGTAAAAGATGAGTGTCAATACTAATCAACAAACTGAATTGGAAGTTCCTTCATGCTTTTGAGCACTTAAAAACACCTCAATTCTGTGCCACTTTGGAAAAAAAAAGAAAAAGAAAAAAGAAGGCTTTCTTGGATCCTAAGCAAACCGATTTGATCCGGACAGTGATCTTGGCTCAACAATTAACACTCTCCTCATCTAATTCATCCTGCAAAACGTACCCTTTTTCTTTCATCGACCCCAGCAATGCATCCAGTGTTTTGTAAATCTCTTCGGTTTTTTCATTTGATACATCCATTACTGTAAAGCTTTGTAACCCATCACGTGTTTCAATCCAGCTACTGCCAGGAATCCTTCACAGCCCAACTTCTTTCATTCACTCCCTGACCTGATCAGCTTCTTCCCGTCTCCCAGCTTGTGAATACAAATTTGCCATAATGATGTAGTTCCCTGTATTCTTGGGCTCGATTTGAAACAAGCGATCAGAGACAAACTTTCCCAACTCAACGTCACGAGAAACTGATGCCCCATTAAGTAATGCGCCCCAAACTTTTGAACTTGGCTCAACTTGCATTTTGTGGATAAAGTCTGCAGCTTCGCTGAGTTTCCCAGCTCAGCTAAGAACACCTACCATGCAAGCATAATGCTCAACTGAGGGAAGAATGCCATATTTCGGAAACATGGCATCAAAGATCTTCCAAGCCTCATCAACCACTCCAGAATGAGAACAAGCTGTTAATACCGCTGTAAATGTCACTTGGTCTGGTTGAATCCCACTATTCAACATCTCATAAAAGAGGCTAAGAGACGTATCAGCATCTCCATGATCAAAAACATGCTGTGCCCCCATTAAGAAACCCCGACTTTGTATAAGTATCAATAATAGCAGTTGCAACATAAATATTCCAGTCAAAATTGTTTTGAACAGCATAAGCATGTACTTCCTTCCTGACTTTCAGATTTGAGAAATACGATATTGTAGGAAGAATACTTGACAATGTCATGGTAGTATTTGGTTTGCAACCACATGCCTGCATTTCACAAATTAAATCCAAGGCATCTTCGTGCCGGTTATTCTGAACCAGATCTGAAATCGCAGCATTCCAAGTACTTGACTTTGGCTTCTTACTATCTCTGAAAACATCCATGGTGTCAACAAACCCGTGAAACATGTACCCCGAAACTAATGAGCCATAAGTGACCTCATCCTTTTCATTCATCTCATCGAATAATTCTTGAGCATAATCCAAGCTACCACATCTTGTGTATAGCCCTATAAGAGCATTACAAAGCAAAACATCCATCTCGATCTGATTCTCATTCACAAACTGATGAACTTCCATACCGAACATAAGATCATTTGACTGTAAACATGCCTGCAAGACACTAACCACTGTCAACCCAACAGGACTAAACTTGCCTAAGCTTAACATCTCCCTGTTCAACTCTTTACACTCCTCATAATACCCGGCCTGAGAATACCCCGCAATCATTGAATTCCACGGCATAATATCTCTTTCTGGCATCCTATCGAACAAAGCTCTCGCCAAACCAACCTCATCACATCTCGAGTAGTAAGTAAGCAAAGAATTAACAAGAAAAACATCCAAATCAAAACCATGACGCAGAACAAAACAATGTACCTCCTTAGCCAATTTTGAACCCGAAAGCAAAGCGCCCAGAGCCTTCAACACACACCTCACGGTAAAATTGTCGGGCTTTGCTTAATCCGAACACGAAGACACCATAGCCGAAAACAACTTCAGGGTGTCGCCGTGCACGTTGTTAAGGCCCAATGAGTATGGCGTTCCAAGAGAAGGCGTTTGGGTGGGGAATTTGGTCGAACACCTTGCGGGCATAGTTGAGGTTATTGGTTTCGAAGTAAAAATTGATGAGCTTTGAAGCCAGGAAGTTGGCGGGGGTGACGGAGAAGAGGACGAGGCGGGCGTGGAGCTGCTTGGCCGGACCGACCAGGCGGCGGACCGTGCAGTGCTGGATGAGGTGGCCGTAAGCTCTGCAGTCGAGGCGGTCGAGTCCATGGAGGTTTTGAAGGGCTCGTTGGACGTGGCCGTTGCTGGCGGCCGAGATTTGAATGTGGAATGGCTTTGTTAACAACATACATTTTATTAAAATCTGTTAAATTAACTATCACTTACTTTGTTCCAAAATCAATAGAAAGTTATGAAAGCATAGCCTTCAAACTAACAGTTACTACCACTCTCGTTAGACCATCACCTCCAAAACCAGCGCAAAACCACCAACTCCAACCTACAACTCAAGTTGTCAACGTCCAGAAGAAGGTCATTGAGGTTGTTGAAATGGTATAGACTGCTATGATGCAGCCACCACCATTTTCACCGCCTATAAAGAAGAATTGGAAGCTTTACAAGTTGAGAATTGACGAACGAGAAAATCACATGAGCAGAAACAAACTCCTTGAAACCCTATCTGAATCGTAACCCTCTTCTTTATTCGGAGGTTGCCCTCCAGATGTAATTTCAATTTTGGTTCAATTCGATTCAATATTCGTTTGATCATGAGGTTCAATATTATGTAATCTATATATGTTTGAAATTTAGATTTACCATGATATACCCAGTTGGTGGATTTTGAATATAATCTTTGTTTGAAAAATTAACGGATGTAACATTTGCAAAAGGTTGGGTACTTATTTGGAATGTTTAAAAAGGTTAAGACTAATTTAGAATGACACTAAAAGGTTGAGGGGTTTCAGATACTTAATTCTTTTTATTTCGTCTTTACTTTTCTTTTTAATTTATTAATAAAACATTCCATAGGCAATTTAGCTCGACTGTTGTAACTTTTTTCTTACCCAAAAGCACTTGGAGAGTAATAAATCACTAGCTTTTTACTTGTAATGCCACGGAAAAGTGTTCTTTGGCTGGTAGTAGGTTAGTCTCAATCACTTATCACTTCAATGGTAAGCATGTGGCTTGCTTTTTGGCTGAGAAGGCTTCAATTTGCTTATGGGCTTGGTGCTAGGCTTCAATCAACTCTCTTTTAATTAGGTATTCTTGGGCTTTTCTTTATCTAAATTCAATGTCAAATATTAACCCAAACAGGTTGATTACACAGTGATAGGGCTGCAATCACGATGAACTTGACTGTGAGGACAAAAACCTATCGGGATCCGCTGACTAATATGGTCTTCCTATTCCTTGCTTGACACAGTGGGAGCTGTGGTCTACATTCAATCAAGATTAGGTTCCACGTGATAAGACATATCATGTCTTTGTGTTTCATATGCATTCCTGTAAGCGAAAATTGCTTACTAATTTCACAGCCAAAAGAGAGAGAAACAGAGAGTTTCTTATTTGCAGTCTGTATTTTGGTAAGGATGGAGCATTCACGTCGAACTCATGGCAGGCTGATTTTGTTTAAACTCTTTCATGGCTTCATTCTTTTATGCATGACCACACGTCTGGAATCTGCAGCACTGTCCAGCACTAGTCTAGGAAATGAAACTGATCGCCTGGCGCTGCTCGACTTCAAGAAACACATCACTCAAGATGCTCTCCGTGTCATGAGCGCATGGAATGATTCCATCCATTTATGCAGTTGGGCGGGCGTTACATGCAACCATTCCACCAAAAGAGTCTTGATTTTGAACCTGCAAGATCAAAAATTGGCAGGCTCTTTACCTCCTTCTATAGGAAATCTTTCCTATCTTACTAGAATCAACCTAGGAAGCAACAGCTTTCGTGGTGAAATTCCTCAGGAAATTGGTCGTCTGCAAAGCCTACACGTTCTCAACTTGTCTCACAATTCCTTCAGTGGGAAAATTCCAACCAATTTATCCCAGTGTACACAACTAAAGGCGCTTGAGTTTCGTTACAATGAACTTATTGGCTCGATTCCAAAACAACTCAGTTCATTGTCGAAATTAAAGTATCTGGTGCTTTATTACAACAGTCTGACTGGAACCATCCCGAGTTGGATAGGAAACTTTTCTTCTCTGTGTTGGTTAGATTTTGCCGCAAACAATTTTCAAGGAAGCATACCCAATGCGCTCGGGCGACTAACAAGATTGCAAGAATTC